AGGGCTAATCAGGTCGTCTGTTGGACCCGCCAAACCCACATCGGATACTCCGATGGGGAGGTGTCCAAGATCAGGCCCGAAAGGAGGCAGTACAGGAGATGGTTAAATGGCTTATCAACCAGACCGCCACAAAACCACCCTCCCATTGGCAGGTCCCAGGGCCCCAACTATACGGACAACTCAAGGCTAAGTTGGGTAAAACCTTGAGTTTTCCAAATCTAGGAAAAAAACCTCTTTATTGGCCTCACTGAACACATAGCCCAGGAACTTAATGTCACAGGGTGCTGGGTATGTGGAGGAGCTCTCATAAGTAAAGACTGGCCATGGAAGGGAACTAGCCTAACTGCCCTTGACCTCCTCCAGTGGAACTGCACCACAATCCGACCTTCACAGAGACGGCCCCTAGGGTGGGTTCTCTCCTCTGAAGTAATCGGAGAAGAATGTCTCAGCCAGACAGGCATGCCCTACACCCAGGGGGTGGGAGACACCCCACGCAGGAGAGTCTAGAATCTAACTGGCTCATCTCTCAGCTGGTGGCCAAAAGCCCCGACCTGGTATTGGAGCCCTATCATCAATTCTACCTCATGTTCCCTCTTAGATACTAGCTCCTCCATTGCCAACTGCACCTTTCCTAATGGCACTGGCAACCCCTTCTACGCACTCCCGGCCCTTAGTACTATATGGGATAACTTACACTCCACCCTGAGCACCCACTGGGTGGCACCCAATGGCTTATTCTAGATCTGTAGTAAAAGAGCATACTCCCATCTTCCCTCCAACTGGACCAGGAGCTGTACACTTTGTATAATCCAGCCTGGTTTCTTCCTCTTTCTTAACCAAACTGGCCAAGAGCTAAGCCTCCCCTTATACCAGGGTTTGCAGATGAAGCCCAAAAGGTCCCTCGATATGGGGAGCGGGGGGGCATCAAACCTGGGGGGAAGATGAATGGCCTCCCCAGCAGATCATCCAATATTATAGCCCAGCTACTTGGGCTCAAGATGGGAGTTGGGGATATCGTACCCCCATTTACATGCTCAACTGTATTATCAGATTACAGGCTGTTCTAGAAATAATTACCAATGAAACTGCAACAGCTTTAGAGCTCCTCGCTACCCAACAGACCCAGATGCGGGCTGCTATTTATCAAAACCACCTAGCACTGGACTACTTACTAGCTGAAGAAGGTGGCGTCTGTGGCAAATTTAATCAGTCGGACTGTTGTCTACAGATTGACGACACTGGCAAAGCTGTCTTTGCTATCGCTACAAATATTAGAAAACTTG